AAGTTTTCGACGTATTTATAGTAGACCTTAAAAAAGTTCTAAGAGATATATTGGCTAACTTCTTCAGCTTAGCCAAATAGACTTCAAGGTCACGATTACATGGAAAGCTTTTACTTAAAATTGAAATATACTACATAAAAATTTCTTTATTTCCGATTAAGTCTGACTGAAAAACAGTGAAGTTGCAGAAAATTAAATCTTTTTTTATAGAAAACTTTTGTGAAACAAAAGTTATTATTTGATTATGAGTTTCAGTCAGACCTAAAAACGTTATCTAAATTCACTTAAAAAGACTTGTGATCGTATGAATTTTATCAAATAATATTCGATGACTAAGGTTAAAGCAGTAACGCATAACCACCACATCGGGTGTGGGTGTGAGTTGTAGGTAGGGTGTAGGTTTGAAAGAAGAGAAAAATGAAACTCACATACATCCACATCCACACTCGAGTCACCAGTGGGAGCACACGATGATTCACCGCCCATTATGTTTAGTGCTATTTGGTTCCGTTTGCATTTCTCCACCATTTATCCGCTGGTATCCATTTAGTTCTACGTGATGTTTATTTTTCTTTCTCCCTTGCTCATCTTTTTTTGTTTTGTTCTCAAGTATTTCCTCTCTGGAGTTGATGCGAACATAATCAGTTGTTGTGTTTTCTACCGCTTCATCACATTGTTGCATCTTCACTTGCATTCCCAATAGATCGTCAGTATACCGATTACATTCTTTCCACTGGTTCATAACAGATCTCCGGCCGGTAAATAGATTTCCTTTATGAGCGTTTCTTTTCTCCGTTGCAGATCGGAAACCATTAGAGAGTAACTTGCCGGTCGAAGTGCTTTGTGTGAGTAGATATCCTAGGTAAGTTCTCCCAGACCGAAGAAGACGCATTACATGAATGACAATCGGAGTCAACGAGTGCGAGATGCTTTCATAAAAACATGTCGGAAACAAGAACTTATCCACAATTTTGAAAACAGCACAATATCATAGTTGGCAATGGACACATTCCTGTGGCGATCGTTGAACTGAGCTCTTTGAATAGCAGATATTGAATTGATCTAGCATTTTTGTTGCATAATATTTAATATTAATGATAAATTGACTCATTTATTGTGCCCATCTGATAATAATTTGACAGTCTATTGAGAAAATAGCGCAGATACTGTTGTCTGATGTATAATCGAAAAATATTGCTAACATGTATATGAATACATGTTGCGGCCCTCTCGCGTTTTCTTTGACATTAATTTGCAACGCTTCGTAGTCGCTTTTGCTTGACAGTTCTCTTTCTCTTATATTCTTTCTCAATTTTCTTTCTAATAACGACATGTTTGAGTTGCACATGCGTGCTTTTTCGTTTCTTTATCATCATTCGTTTTTGTGTTTCTCTCCATGTTACTTGTAGCTTACATTGCATCATTGTGTCACGCCGCATTTCAGATATTTGCCTTCATCATTCTACTTTTCATTATATACAGTCAACTACACATCGTCCCCTGGAAGTTGAATTTTATTTATGAATTTTTTGACTGACAGTAGGACTTTTAATAGTGAAATGTTTCCTTTTTAAAGTCTAGCATTTTGTTTATTATGAACATAAATTCAGGGCGCAGACCACGGTCATTACTATTATTTCGGTAAACAAGAACAACCAAACGTTATCAAATATCTTATACTTCATGCTTCATGGTCATCTGGTAACTCCTATACAACAACGCTCGGCGATCGAATTAGACACTTCAGATAATACATAAAACTCAAAAGGTTTGAATAATGCTTTTCTTGTTAAGAAGATAAAAATATTGACTATTTTAGGCATTCATCGTCAAAAATATTTCAAATGTGCACTCAAAATCAATAAACCATATTTCACTTTCAGAAAAGTACAACCAAGGCAATGACAAATATTGATCGTAAAAAACACAAATCCAGTTAATTGTTATACGATACTGAAACTTGTGGTCAGGTTAGTTGAATTAAGCGAAAATATATATAGCAGGTACCTTATAATGAATGGTTCATTTTTTTCTGTTTTCAATGCACTGAAAAATCGCTTAAAATCTGGTCTTGAGCTCTTTCGATGGGAAATTTATTGCTCTATAGAACTTCATCTTTCAAATAAGCCTTTGTTGTTGACACTGATTATAAAAGATAAACATCCACTCGATTGTGCAACTATGATTATAAAAAATTTATAAAACGATGGAAGTATTCTGCTACAATATTAAATATACACCACACAATTCTACAACTTTTGACGTATACTTTTCACAAGTTTAGAAGAAAAATTTTGGATTAGAAAGTGTGAGATAATTGAAAACTGAATTTATTCTGACACAACTGTGTCTGAGGCACTTTTTTTGATTTGAAGCAGTCTGAATATTTCGTCTATTCGAGCTGACATTTCCGCCGTTGTATTAGAAATGCAATTGTATATCTGATGGTGCTAGAGTTAACGTTTCGTATACTTGGAAAAGCATGATTTTCACTAATGTATCCAAAAAAGTGCCCGATATTAAATAGTTTCATGTCCTTTTTTCACAAAACAACAGTGAAAAGTGCATTGCAAAAGCCATATAAGTATGGAGCACAAACTTCTCTATAGAGCGACGTAAAACAGATTATTGGTAGCATCGGTCTTGATGAATGCAGGTTGACACATTGGAAAATTGAATTTTACAGTTGGACAATTGGGTTGATACTATTGTCTTTAATTGTGTGGCAACAAAGAAACACGTTTTGTTGAAAAATGAAATAAATCATTTTTTAGAACAATGAATTATCTACTAAATGAGCTCAAGATCAGATTTTAAAGCAATTCTAAAGTGCTTTGAAAAAAGAGAATAAAATCTGACTATTAATTATGAGGCATCAGTTATAAATAAGTAAATACATATGCATGTAATTATTTGTCAAGTGACAAGAAAAGGTAATGCTTTTAAAACAGTTTTGGTAAATGTATCAGCGATGGCTGAAGCTCTACATCGCCCACCAACATGTATGGACAAACGCTCATAGCAGATACTTTATCGACAGATGACCATGTTTATCTATATACAGCAGTACTTTATGTTACATCACATTGATCAATCGAAGTTACTCATTAAAAATCTTCGATCCAAAAACTTATTTTTCGAATTGAGACTGATGTTAAATTTTTTCCTGCTCGTAAATCTATATTTTCATTCAGTACCTAATCGAATTGGGAGCATTTATTGTTAATAAATTGTTAGTTGTTTTCTTTACTTCAAATGTACTTTGTACAGAATGTTATATAAATGATTTATAAGCAGTGACTATTCTCAAACTTTTTCTTTTCTGTTAGTACGTTACAACGGACGATTATTCGTGTTAAAACGTATTCAATTGGCGAATCTATCAATCTAGTGCGTTAATACATGTTTATGAACCCAAAGTTGTTGTTAAACCGGTTAAAATGTTTCAACAGTAAAAAAATACTGGTTTCGCACGTTGAATTCTTTAACTTGTCGATTATACAAGTTTTAACGCGTTGCCTTCTTCAATTTTCATCATCAACGCATGAAAACAACGTTTTTGGCGTTTATGTGTCTGTGTGGGTATATGTCATACACCAGCCGTCATAATGTTGAAAAATTACATGAAGATTGTCAAAAGTTAGAATGATCTGGCTTTCCCACGCCTCCGTTCTTATGAATTTGAATTTTTCAACAAAACCCCGTAGTTCTCATCAGGTCACGTTGAAAGTTGACTTTCAAGTTCCAACTCGAAACTTTGCATAAATAATCATGTCGCTGCAATTGGATCATTCTGCAAGTTTCAGCTTTTTTCGTTGCTTCTGTCGTCAGATACGAATGTTGAAAATTCTGTTCTGTGACAAAGCAAATTGTGTGCTAATATTCGTATCTCATGACAGAAGCAACTAAAAAAGCTGAAACTTTCACAATGAACTGATCTCATTGAGAACATTATTTGTATAAAGTTCCAAGTGGAAACTCAAAAGTCAACTTTTCATGTGTCCTGAGTGAGACTAGAGTTTTCTTGGAAACTCTAGTAACAACTCTATTTCTCAAAAATTTTACGAGTTCAAGAAGCTAGATAATTACAGATTATCAGCATCAAGTGCGAAGCAAAATTACACAAAATACCAATTTATTAGCTACCGTAACTCTAGGGATTAGTTCTGGCCCTATTTTTTTCTCTACTGTGACCTACACCCTCACGCCATCACCATCTTTGAAATAAAACAATTGAAAGGGTACTGTGAGTTAATAGAACAACAGGAAAATATCAAACTTATTTAGTTAATTCCTCGACCTTCGTCTTGACAATTACCACGATGATCATCGAATCTCCATCTCGGCTGTCATGTCCTATGTAAAATTCTTTTTCTTCTCATTAACAAAGCCTAAACTGTTATTGTTTTCTTTCTGTCGTATCTCCACGTCCATTATAGGCGCAGCCACGATAGGATGGTCGTGTTGGTGGTCCTAAACATGTCAGCTTATCAATGACATATTCGGGTACCTTCCAAAAAGTGAGCATCATCCTAACCAGTACAAATAATTCGTATTCTTTAATTCTTCCAAGGAGAGAGAAAGTATACTCACTCGAGAAATACAAATGACATTATGTAGATGAATATTCATAAAATTATCGCAACTCATCAAGTGTCCATTGTATGTTTCACCATTATTGAGCTCCACTAACTCTAAACGAGATAAAAAAACATGATTAAGCAAGGGAAAATCGAGAATATTCTGATCACAGCGGACTAAATTGATTGACAAGAGATGTTTTTTGATATTTATGACAATTTCAAATAATAACACCTGACAAACTCTCTCTCAAATTCTTTTCAAATGACGATACTCATCATAAGATGATATACAGCTGTTCGAAAGAGCGTCGGAGATTGTTAGAAGATAAAGAAGATACGATCAACGATGTGTCATATCGTATCACTTTATTGACTCACCATCTAGAATCAAGAAGAATATCTTTTATTTCAGATAAAATGAGTACCATCATCAATACTGTTGTGCCACTTTATCAACCCAAAATTAATATTGAAGGTGTCTATACTCCATATCCCGGTTATACAATTGTCTCACATGCTCTACATCCACTCCCCAAATCCCTCACTGCACTTGTTGATTATCTTTCGTCAAGTGAACTTGAAAAATATTATTCATTTTTACCTCGTACAAGTTATCATGTTACTATCAATCCACTTGAAAATGTACATGATGAACATCAAGAACTTTTAAGAGAGGAACAACGTAAATTAATCAAATATGATACATCAAGTGTATGTACAGCCGAGAGTATATCCTATAGGAATAATATTCTACTCAATGTTCAATTTAAAGATGATAATCATCAATTTGAAGATATAATCAAGAGAGTACGATCAGACAAATTAATATATGCAAACATTCTACCGAAATATACCATGTCATGGCATTTAGCATTAGCTTATAAATACAAGGATATCAAAAATGATGAAACACAAACAAGACTCGATGAAGTTATTCGAAATATTCCTGAGATAGCTAAATTTCCTTTCGATATACCACTTGATCAAATTGAAATATGTCACTTTGATGATATGACTAAATTTACACCGATTAACGTCGACTAACAAATATGCGTAAAATACATATACAAAAGAGAAAGACTCATTTATTTTTGTCAACTACTTTATCTGCTCTAAATTTCTAACATAACCAAACAACAATAAAAAGAAAAAAAAAGAACATGAATAAACAGATTTGTTTTTTCTTTCAGCTGAGTGTGAACACTTTTTTGTTTAAAATTCTTTCGTATATGACTCAAGATCAACACCGAAATCGGCTTGGGTGTAGATGAGGTGTAATTGAAGAGAGTACTCACATCCACAGGGTGTGGGCTTGCGTGTTGGGGTGTGGTATGAGTGTGGGTGAGTGTGGGTGGGTGTGGGTGTGGGTGAGGTGCGGGTGGGTGTGGGTGTGGGAGTGTGGGTGTGGGTGGGTGGTGCGTGTGGATGAAGAGAAGATCTCAACACGCACACGCGCATCCACACTCTAATATTCATAAAATCTTCTCGAAAAATTGTCCTTGCCAAGATCTTGGGTGTGTGGGTGTGGGTATGCATGTCATTCAACCCTTTGCCCACACCTAACACCTACACCTACACCCACACCCAACAACTGTTCTTAATTTTGACAATGAAATGCGTTTGCCTGTGAAAGGAAAAGGAAGAAGATGTGCTTATTGTAGCACCAAATAAGCAAATTTTCGGTCCAACATCGAGTGCTTTACTTGCAAATTGCCATTTTGTTTAAAACATGAAAAAAATTGTTTCTTTGATTATCATAACATTTTTATGTAGCGATTTTGAGTTACAATAAAATAAAAAGGTGTAAAAATGTTTTTCTCGATGCAAAAAAAATTCGGCCCTCAAAGGGTTAAATATGAAACCTAAAGAAACAAAATTCGATGTAATAATTTAACAGAACATCTTAATAAAGAATATCAAATGAATCTTATTCTTATTTTTATAACAACTCATTAAGAATATAAATTCTCATAAAAAAGGGTGTGGGTGTGGTATCGGTGAGAGGGAATTCTAGACAAACACTTACTTACTCCACAGCCACACCTGCACCTGCACCCGCACTCACAGCCACACCCGCACCCACACACACCAAACCCCACACCCCAACCTCACACTCACACACCCACATCCACACCCTCACCCTCACTCGTACCCTTGATATTGTATTTAAATTCTAATGCAGACTATATACCACCTGAAGATTTTTCTCATTCATTTTAATTGAGGTGACATCGCGATTCTGATATTTATTCTTCATATTCACTCTTGATCGTTCTAAAGTCACACACCAGCAACAATAACTTTATTTTCCATCCAAAGTTTGATAGAAGGGGAGGGTTTTAATCTTTTAAAAAGCTGGTAAAAGTTGCTTGAAAATGTTCAGTCTATTATTGGGAAGGTCATCGACAGCAAAGTTCGATCCGAAAAGAGGATCCACCACAGCTACCACGAGAAATACTGGTAGGCAAGGAACTCCAATCGTCGGCGTTGTCCTTATCTTCTGTGTCCAAGCAAATGTGATGACCCATGAAACCTGCCGGACATCCATACTTTGGACCGATAATACAATATTTTCCGTTTGGCCAGAGAGGTGTAGCTTTGAGCCCAGATATTTCATTTTTGAGCTGAACGATGTCTTGTTTTAACACAGTTCTTTGATTGTTCGTATTCTGTCGCTCCCGATCGATTTCGAGTTCCAAATGCTTCTTCACAGTAGCCATCTCACCTTGAACTAGTTCTTCTAAAGAATCAATCTTTCTCTGTAACATACTTATACGACTAGACAATTCATCTTGAGGCTGAGAGTGTGAGTGTGAAGGTGAGTATAACTACGACAAAACTTAGCAGTATTTTTCTTTTGCAGATATAAAGATTATTAAGTGGCATACTATTAGTACAAAAAACAATTACCAGTAAGAGAAATCAGAACAAAATACCAAATAAAATCTACTCGAAAGTGAATACTCACTATTTAGAGAGTGAGTACAGATTTTTTCTCTCCAAGAAGATTAAATCCACCAGAAGATAACAAACGACGAGATAATTATTCTGCTTTCGAGTAAATTTTATTCGGTATTTTTTACTCATTTATCTTCTTGCCGATCATTTTTGTACTAACACTATGCCATTTGATAATCTTTTTATCTGCAACAGCAAAATACTTCTAAGTATTGTGGTAGTCACACTCATTCACCCTCACTCGCACGCTCGCTTTCATTGCGATTTCTCTGAGCTTTTGGAAAGTGTTTCTTTTAAGTTATGCATTCAAAATTGTACAGCTAGTCACCCTCGATGTTATACTTAGGATATTGACAAGATTTGCAAATATGGTTCCTGTGAGGCTTTCGACAGGCTTTTACAGAAATTTGGTGCTGGTATTCATAATATCATGTTGATATGATTAAGAGATACATAGAAAGAGAATCTTAGTCAGAAAATCGCAAGTTTCGTCAGGATTCCTAACTATTAAATATGGATAAGGTTCCATGAAGCTCGTGAAATTCGTTCCGTTGTTGCTATGAGTATCGCCATTACAAGTGTTCAGATTCCTATATGGAGGCTATGAAGAACAATTAGGACGATAAGTTAAAGACTAATGCTTATTCTAACCAGGATCTTGATAAAAATACATGAGGATTCGAGTAGGATCTTTAAAGATCGTTTTCTTCAGATAACGTCAAACTCATGGTCAGACTTTCTTCTTAATCAGAAGCGCAGGATCTTAGCATGATTTATTCCTCATCTATCACTTGTTTTTTCACAAGGATTTCAGCACAGAAAATTGCAAGATCTTATGAAGTTATGGTGAAAATCCGGTCCAAGTGTTCCTATTAGACAGCTAGTAGAACTGAAAAGTAGTTAGACGAGGATTCAAGCAGGAAAAAAACAAGATCCATCCGAATCCTAATCTGAAAAATATGAAGAACATTCTGTCAGCTTTTTACTATAATCTTTGTAGTCTGCTGTTGTGGAAATCGTTTCTGAGTCAATATCTTCTAGATTATATCTGCAGCATGTCATCAGTAAAATTGGTAGAACAGCAGATCGGTTATCGGAAGATAAAAGTTCTATTTCTATTCTGATTTTATAATTTTTTTGTATTGTATTATTGATACTGAATAGATCATATTGTGTGATATTATATTCTAACCATTTATATGAATACAACTTCGTGGATAAGCGAAGTGAAAATAGCAAATTCTTCACATAATTCGTTTTTTTACTTTTCTCGCACGATTAAATAAATTGAACTTAAACTTACCCTTCAGTGTTGTAATTAGAGATGAGAATTTATTACTGATCAATGTTATTGAAGAGTTAAGTTCTGTCAGCTGATTGGTTGTGCGTTTATTTAAGAGTTCGATATTATTTTTAATCGTTATTTCTGATGATGTAAGTGCTGCAAACTGTTTATCTGTGTCTGATTTTAATTGATCATATTTGGCGGCAACGGTATTTGATAAGCGATCGTATTTGGCGTCAATGATATTTGTTAAATTATTGAGAATACTCGATAAGTGATAATATGTTTCTTCAAGCCAGGTAGCTGATGAAGGATGACGAAGTGCATATGGGCAGCCAAGTGGTAAAACGTGTACGTTCATTCGAGTTTTTACATAAACCGTATTGGAGAACAGCTTTGTGTAAGATTTTAATGAACCGAACTTGACGAGTATAACATCGATTGCTTTCGGTTTGATAATTTCACCTTCAATTTCAACGTGCTTTCACAAATACCGCAGCAACTTTTCCGCATTTTTTCGTTCTAGAATGATTGTTGTACCATTTTTTCTCTCATTATTCGTGTCGTTCAATTGGCTCATATTTATTTTGTAGTGAATGATATCATCATTCAACGACCTTCTGCTGTCTGTATTTTGATTATAAACACTAACGTCTGTATTGAATTTCATATTTCCCGAGGCTATGCCGGCAAAACTGCCGCCTGATTCATAGCCGACATGCGTATCAACATCGCTTGTATGTGTTGTATTTCTAGATTGTGCCGCCAAATGTTTTTGAAAATTTTCAAGCTTTTGTCGTTCGTCAAGTTTTAAATTTTGTTTTATAGCTTCATCTGCCTGTGAATAATCGTAGCGAAATTTATCCGAATCTGTAGCATCTTGTTTTATAACTTTATTCAGTACTTTCGATAACCGATCGGGTCGTGTTAACTCAGGTGTCCAATACAGCGAATCCCACATGTGATCGTTTGCTGTTGTCAATTTAGCGTGCTTGTCCTGCAGTTGACGATCAAGCATTCGATCGATTGCAATTGAATCTTGTATGCTTTCAAAACCTTCTTCAACTCGTAAATTCATTGTAATTTGATCCATGGTTTCACTCAAGAGATCTTTATAGTCATCACCAGTCAAAGCAATTGTGTCTTGAGCATTTGAAGGTAATTGAGACTTTATTTTATTGAACATCGACGTTTTCGTTACATGTTCGGTGGTCACTTCAAGAGTTCGAGCTGCTGTCTGTTGACCTTGTAATGAGTACTGAACTTCAAAATTCGATAAACTACAACGTGAGGTAATTGAATTTTTCAAGCTTTGACAAACAGACATATTAGATGTGTAGATAATAAATTCAACTGCTTGTCGAAGTTGTGTATTACTATGCCATTCGCCAGCCAGAGTGTATTTTTTTTGAGACTCAGGTGATTGACGCCCTTTATGAATGAGACGGATGGAATGCATTGGCAAAAGTGAAACTTTACAGTGTTGAGTATCACATTTATCTTGATGTTTTTTTTTAATATCACGCTCAACGGCTTCGAGTAAATTTGTAGTATAGAGCGAAACAACCAAGGTAAGTTCGGTGTAACCGCTGAATTCATTGTCGTTACAGTCAGTTAGATTCGGTTCGATATGTGGAAACGGTGTAAAAAAAAGTCGGATGGCTTGAGTTGATTTTGAAATAGAGTGACTTCACCACCTTGATATCGAAACCGGCCCATATTAGTTGCTGCAATTTGTTCGTTATGTATGTTTGTAGCAGCACTTTCAATCTTATTACCAGTGATTATAAAACGTTCGGAATCCTTTTGTGTAGCAGTGCCAACGATCAGTGCTATCATACCAACGAAAATTAACACTGGAAACGACCAGAGGTGGGATCGGTTGGCATTTTTGCCAAACCGAACCGACCGTAATCGAAAAAATCTCTGACCGAACCGAACGTAACCGACCGAATTTTTTAAAATTTCTAACCGAA